AAGAGTCCAACAAAGGCCACGTGTCCTTGGGCTGCTGAGGCCTCTGTGTCTGAGGCCACTGCTTTGCTCTCACAGGTACCTACAGCATCTTTTTTTTTTCATTAAGTTTTCAGACTCCACTTTAATGGCAGTTTCCGTTTTCTCCTCTGCCCATGGGTTCTAGCAGAAGGCTTGGTCCAGACTCTTATGTCTTATTTCTGTCTCTTATTTCTGGTTTCTGACCTGAAACAACGCATGGACAGTTTACACCCATTTCATCTTTTTGCTGATTGTCTTTACTGGGCTCCTCATCCATGCCTGATCACGGAATCACGGAGTTGTTGGAGTTGCAAGGGACCTTCTAGAGATCATCTAGTCCAACTCCCCTGCCAGAGCAGGATTGCCTAGAGCACGTTACTCCGGACTGCATCCAGGTGGGTCTTGAAAATCTCCAGAGAAGGGGACTCCACAACAATGTATGTATAAATGACAGCCACAGCCTCTCTTAGCCTCTTTTCTTGCTGGACTAAACCAAGCTAGGACCTCCTGGTCTCCTCTCATGTACCAGGGCTCCCCATTGCTCTGATTGGCCTGGTAGCTGTTCTCCAAACCTATTCTCTTTGAACACGACTTACTTCAACATGGGGGATCAGAGCTGTACCTGGCAGTCTGGGTGGACTCTGAATTGTGTCGGACAAGGGCACTGGGTGCCTCTGTCACTTCTGGAAATCGCTTTCCCAAAGCCTTTCTTGCCTGTATATAACTTTTTTAAGAGCCACAACATCAAGTGGGCTCTCAGTCATCTTGTAAGCAATTAATACACCATTTTCTGTCCTTTCCAAACTGCAGCACCTCCGAAGACAAACTAACAGCAAGGGCTTCTTCTAAGTACAGGAGCTGACACTGTGACCACTTAGGTTGCTCCAACTCTGAAGATGATTTGGTTTCTTGTCTCTATTTCCTTCTCTAGACTGACAGCTCCTCATTTTGAGCGTATTTTGTTAGTATCTGTATCTTTTTCTGCGCCAAGATCTTTAACGAAAATATTACACAGTTGACAAAGACAGTCTTAGAAGCAAACTCTTTTTGGAACCCATTACAAGACTCACTTCCCCTTTCCACGCAATCCACTGTCAGCTGCTGTTTCCCAGATTACCTGTTAGGATCAGGTACATAAGCGATCAGGTACATACATATGAGCAAGGATGAGACCTCTCCAGATGTGAGTCACCCAGCACAGTCTGCTCTCGGTGAGTTATTTAACTCCATGGCACTAACGGGTCTGTTCTGCCGAGCCCCTTCTGAGCAGCCACTCGTATGCCTGACTGATACTGCATGAATGGCAACAGTTCAGATAGTTTCACCTTTTTTTACAAAAAATAGAATTGTTGTATTTGCTGACTTTCGCGTCATGGTTACTCTCACAGGTTTTTCTCAGAACAGCTGTAATTAAAACTCCGTGCTGATGGATGGGGAGTTTGGGAACCAGCTCTTTCGGAGTCCCTTGAGCTCCTGACAGCCTGATTTTATTACCGCTTCGGATGGAAGTGCTTCGACTTCAGATTTTCATATTACTGTCCCCGTCTCCCTCTCACTGTTTTTATGTCCAAGTTGTTTAGCTGCAGATGGACAGTGTCCAGGAAAAGCCACTCATATTTTAATTTATTTATGCTTAATATGAGTGGCATCCAGAAGGCTGCTTCTACTAGCCTCTCCACATGCACGCGGTGGAACAACTGCAGGGCAAACAATTTGGTTGTGACATGGCTGTGCAGGCCACTCGAGTCATAACCTTACTTGGTTTCTGACACGTCCACTGTGACTGTCCACTAGTTGTGAGCATCAGCCAGCGGTGAGCCAAACAAATGTGTGTGTCCCTTCAGAGGGACCTGGGACTCCTTTGTGGTGCTTACGTAAAGTAATAATAGAAAAAAGCCCAGTAACTGTAAGATGGAGTTTCTGGTGCCTGTTTGCTCACATCCAAGGAGGGGCTTGCAGAACATGCAGAAAAGCAAATTAACAAGTTCTTTCAGGATTTAAAAAAAAAAAAAAAAAAAAGAATAGAAAAATCCTCTTTAATTTCTGAATAATTTAGTCAGAATGAGTTAAACTGTTAGCTGCTCTTTGACTGCAGAGAAAGGATAGCTCTCACAGCTGGTTATTCAGACTAACCTGAACAGAAGGGACCAGTGACCTGTACAACTTACAGTGTCCTCTGCGTTCCCTGCTACACCCTTAGGACACGTCGCGCTCCCGGGTCAGAGACCTCGCTACAAAGTCTAAAGTAACCCGGCATTTTTAATCATGCAGTCAGCCTGGGGAGAACTGCCTGCTACCAAATCTTCTCCTCAACCACATGGCCTTTTAAAAATGAGTGCTCTCCATTTCCTTAATCATTATGCTCATGGATAATCACTTTGTCTCTTTTTAATGTGAGGATATTGCCAACTCTTTTCATCATGGCTGAGGTCTCTTGGGACAGTGTCCTCCAGCCAATGATCCTTTGCAACCTGCCTACTCCTTCCATCAAAGATAAGATCAAAGCTATCCACTTGAAAGAAAATCTTTAGGATTTAATTGGTGTTTCCTTATTCCTCATATGCCCATGTTCTGGCAAAAGTTAAAACTAAAACCCACGTGTGGTCACCCACGTCGGCATTCAGCCTGCACACACAGGTCATTGGCTCCATCACAATGTCCCGAATGGCTCATCAGAAAAACATCTCACTACAGATGAGCTGTCACTCACAACCACCAAGTAAACAACTTGGTTATACCCATTTGTAAAATATAGTGAAGGGAGTACGCTGATTAGTCTGCGGCTATTAACAGACTACCACTCGTCGTGGCCAAGCTTCAGTCATTCAGGTCTTGGCACCCCTGCAATATGTTTACACTGGTGTAAATCAGCAGTGTGAAAATCACTGCACTTGTCTGAAAGAGCCTTTCACACGCGTACCTGTGCCTTAGAGCTTCAGTGCACTCTTGGCTACCTAACGTGTGCCTGTTCCTGGGGAGCAATGCTCCACTCCTCCTCCAGAAAAGCGCTAAATGTCAGATCCTAGAGGGATCAGCCTACCTGCTCCTCCTTCTCTGTGCAAGAGAGAAAAGGTTCTTCAATCTACCTCACAAAAAAGACAGAAGTTAAAGAGGAACTCATTCATATTCTCTCTGGCAGTTCTCAACTACTGTAGGAAGAGGAAGCTGGAAAGACAGCAATCCATCAAAAATGCCATTTCCCTTCCTGAAAATTTAACCCAAGAATTTAACATACAGAACAGGGTGCAGGACATTCTTGTCTGGCAAAACCAGCAGGGACTTCAGAAACTCCTAATGAGGGTGGTTCTTAGAGGAAGTACTCACTGTGAGAGCCACCTTTTGTATGAAATATCTGAAAACAGCAACAGCTATTCTTTATAGCTGTGTGTAAATCCATTTTCACCTTATTTTACGACATTTTAAAATAAACAACAACATGTGTCTTGCTAGGAGAAAAACTTACATTATGTACTGAATATTTTCAAAGCATTGATTCTGCTGCATTCATTATGGTAAAGGCCCATCAATGAAATGGCATTATGCCTTTAACCAGGGGAGTCACAGATATTTATTACCTTTAGCTGGGAAATGATTTGCAAGGAAAAAGCAAAAGTCCCTATTTCCTATCCCATCACGATGGTACAGCTTGCAATAATTGTAATAATAGGTCAAATTATGCCTGTGCTTTCTCTTGAACACCCATAGTAAGTCATTCAGTCAGAAAATCTGGGAGGCACAATTTGGCTGCATATGGTACTAACACAACATTAACGAGGTAACGTTTCCTACCTTCAGCTTCTAATCTTTTTTTTTTTTTTTTTAAGCTATTTTTTCCCAGCAGTAGAAAATGAAGTAGTTAAGAAAGGTAGATTATGCAGAAGAATGTCAGCCGTATACGGTGCTGAATAAACCCAGGGAAACACACGGCTCCATTCATTGCAAGTTATTTATGCACATGTTATTTATGTACAAACAGACGCAAGGGCAGGGTGTGGGGCTGGGCAAGGGGCACATTGTGTTACTCACCAGGGCTGGTGTTTTCAAGAACGCCTAATGGTGAATACCACTCATCTGAAAAACTATGCTTCTGGCAAAAGATTAAACACTCTCACTTTCTATTGACTCGGGGAACTGGGAAGTTTCAGCAAATGGCAGGATCAGTCCATTAAACAAATGGGTTTCACAGCACTGGTTAGCAAGTGACAGACCCCCTGCGCTGCCTGCCCTCTCTACTTGTAGGCATGTAGGCAAGACCACGCCGTTTCCTGAAACTTATCTTCAAACACAATTATTTACAAGAACAATGAACATCCTAGAATGAGGTCAATGAAAGAAAATGCATTATTTGCTTGCCTACTATGATTGGAGGAACAGCAGCGGGTTAAACCATTTCAAAGTTCCAAATGCAAGGGGCTGTTTGCTTTCATGAAGGGTTTGTGGCTCTGGGCTTTATTTTCTGTGCAGACTTCTATAGATTAAGGCAATGAAAAAAAAGCCCAAATTTGTCAGCACTATGAAAGCCTGGGCAATGCAGCAAGTTAAATAAGCCATACATTTTAATATTACTCTTAGAAGAAAGTCTGAGTTCCAGGGGGCCTACAAACACTTTTGCTATTTGGACTTCTACCTAATATGGTGAAAAAAATAACAGGGATGAATGTCAGGCATGGTTTGTATGACAAGAGTTACAGGGCCAGCCTCATATTACCTTTCAGAGAGGCAACAAATAGTCCTTGCTGATCTGCAGTTAATCTTACACGCCTGGCTCCGAAACCTACCAACACTAAGAATAGACCGTGTGTGCTGCCGGCAGCGGGCTCATGCTGAAAGGCACCGCAGAGCACAGCTCGGTGTTAAAGAAACCATAAAATAACTCTCAGGTTGGACAGACGGCCTCTTTTGGCTCACTGAGCGACACCCACCAGCAGCCACCAAAGGGGTGGCACAATGACAGTGCTACAAGTAATTAGGTTTGTGGTTACCTGATAGATTACGACCCGGAATTTGTTTTTCCTCAGCATCTCCTGCTGCTTGGCTTCCACCTTCCTCACGCTGGCGCTCTGCCTCTCCACGCGCGCCCGCACCTCCTTCACGGTGGAGCTGACTTTGCGGGTTTTCTCCAGCAGCTTGTTCACGGTGTAGCCGGTGTTGCCGTGAGCCTGGGCCAGCTTCAGGATGTCGATCTGTATGGACTTGACGGCGTCCTCCATCTCCCTGTGCCTCTCCTCTATCCTCTTCTGGCTCGCCTGCACGCTGTCCACGATGTTGGCCACTTTGTCCAGGACCGTCACGATGGTGTAAGCCGCGTCCTGCTCTTCCTCCTCCTCGGTGAGGCTGGAGAGACGATTTTGGTGGGTTTTGTCGGCCTCCGGGGTGGTTTCACGGCGATCCATGTCGCCTGCCTTGGGCCGGGCGGGCAGCAGGCGAAGCTGAGGTGATCCTGCCAGGGCGGCTCTGGCGCTGCTGCGGGGAGCCAGGGCGACAGCTGGCTGCGGCGATGCTCGACGCGGGGCGTGAAACTCCCCTCCTGGAGCTTGGTCAAATTCTTCTGACTACAGAATATCCACACATGATTGTTCGGATGCTTTCGGCAACATGAAACCCCTAAAATTAGGAAGCAATGTCTGGAAAGGAACATACGTTTAAAGGGTCACGCTTCTGTACTGACGAAGTTATTAGTGTTAATCCAGGAAAGTTAAGTAACTTACTAATTAGGCAGGAAAGCAAACTTGCATATTTTTAACGATCTACTTTTGTTTTCCCGTTACTGGGGCGCTTTCCTCCAAGGGAATTCAAAGAGCCGTCAGGAAAACGAACGCGGTTGTTTTTTCCAGCAAAACAACTTCAGGTCTTCAGCTTGCTGCAATTACCACGTGGGCTAACAAATAAACACACTAAACCAGAGGCAATATAGTGAAAACATTGTATTGTGACATGCTTTTCCAGTTCAAAATGTCAAAAGCATTATTTTTTTTTTTTATTGAACAAATTATTAAATCCTACATGCAAAACTTGGATAGCCTACACTACATGTTAAAACAGCTGAACACATCCTATTCACACTTTATCTCGGGATCTTTCAAACGACAACTAACAGTCTATTAATATACCTATGACCAGCAGACTAATCCGGATGGACTTGTTTAGCTCTTGAAAATACTCTATACAAGAGCACTAGTAATTCATTCACTTTTATTATTTTTTTTTTATTTTAATCACAAACACTATACAATCCATATTGTAGGTGTTAAAACATGTATTTTCTTTAAAAAAGTTTAAGAAGTATTAAAACAGCTTTAACAGTGATAAAGTAGGCTTTATTCCAATTATTTGTGTTCGATTATTCAACACCGATTTTTACAATACCTAAATCTACTAAGACCTACTTCTGTTGCACCTGTGCCATCTGCTCTAGCAGGTAACTTCCCCAATTATGAAATTTATAATTTTCCTCTTTAAAAATAAATCGTTGGAATTATTTATGAAGATGGCAGTGCTTAGACCCAGTCCACACGTTTTATAAATATGTTACAACTACACACAGCACACAGCTTCACAGTTCATGCGATAGGCAGTGTCTAAAAAATCAGTTACTAACTTCCAAAAACATTTAAATATCTACGGTATTTAAACACAGTGTTTTCTAGTTTCTCATAAGAAAAGTAAGCTGTAAACATTTTTACCTTTAGTTCATGCCTTGTTTGCTAGGTAATGTGGACTTTTTTGTTGGTTTGTTGTTGTTGTTGTTTTTAAATCTACAACCATTGGTGGAATAAATCTGTGTTCCCAAAAATATTACATTCCATGGATAAAGCACAAGTCTATTATATAACCATGTGATACAGATACAGAAACCGAACTACTGTATTCAAAAACATAAAAGTAAAGATACTAAAACAGTCCATAGCTGTTAGAGCTGATGCTTTCAGAATATAGACCAACATTGTTACACTAAAAATGTTCAAAAATAAGGCCTCTGAAATAAATATTTCCATTCTTTAAAAAAAGATATAATAAAAATGTACATCACATGGTCAATGTAGGTATAAAAATCACTAAGTTAAACCATTCTGGATGATGTATCTGAAGTAAAATGGCCTAGGTTTTGCTTCTGCCGACGTCCTCTATTGTTTTTGGGGCATTTTCTGTTAAAAAAAAAAGATAGAATGAAAAAGGAGGGCTGATTTTATATATGCTGCATAAAATTAAGGCTAGCAGTAACATATATTAGTATCTTAAGGATATCAGCAATGCTTGAATAACTCCAGTGAAGGTCTAACACAGAAGTGGACCTTTTGGATGTGTTTCAAGACTGATCTGTTCTGCTGGATATTTGGTCTGGGGATTCAGAGTGGGTACTGATGGTTTGTGGGTTTAAACAAATGTGTGTTTTGTGGGGGGAGAAAAAAGGGTGATAAGATGTTACATAATCCTTCCGCTTCAGTCGTTTGGTCTTTTTTATGTAGGTATTTTGGGATATATGTTAAAGCACATAAAATTTGGGGGGTCAAATATTTAAATACAGAAAAAGTATATCCATACAATGTGTAATTTTTCACTGTTTTTGTCTTTACCTACCTTGTTATGCACATGACAATTGCAACTATAATGGCAATCTGTACAGCTCCAATTATTGCTGCAATAAGGACATGCGTAAGCTTTTGTCTACTTGGGACAACATAAAGAATACTAAAGTCTGTCTTTTCACAGTGCTGTCCAGTATATCCTGATTCACACCTGAAAAAGAAAAGGAGTAGTTCATGGAATCTGTAAGTTGACAACAGCCCAGTCATTTGCAGATGAAATAAGGAGTCTGAGGTGATTGAAGCTGAGAAAAAGCTGGTGAGGAGGTGGAGGCAGGGTAATGCTTGGGTTGGGGACTGGTTTGGCTTTCTGTGGCAAGAGATAGAGCAAATATGCTCTGCTTCCCTGGGTAAGGTTACTCTGAAAACTCACCAGCGTGGTGAAGGTCCTGATTTGGCAAAAGAAATCTGTGGGGTCATTATTAAGTTGGGCCAATATTTAGGACAAATATAGCAATGAGATAAAACAAGTAGACAAAGCTAAATGAAACACAAAGAAGGACACAAAAGGCACGTGCTCACTCAGCTGCAATGTCAGTATAGGACAGGAATGACAAAGAGGAAAAATATCCTTGAAAAATGGGGTGAAAGGAGATCCCTTTTCAAGCTGCAGCCTACAAAAGTGGAATCCTGCAAAACCTATTGGCCAAGACCAGCATCAGATCCCCTCCTGCCTTGTCACCAAACCAAAATTTGACAGAGGTCAGGTTAGAAAGCCCAGTGGCCCACAGCTGAGAGTGTGAGAGTTCATGGAAGAATCCTTAAAAAAATCCTTAAAAATTGGCCAGGTGTGTGGGATAAATGGCTGGAGACAGAAGAGCAGCAGCTGCTCTAAATAATTTCTTGTCTGAGCAAAGCAGCAGTTAGGTCAGTGAGGAGCTCAGCAGAGGCTGCTCCTGATCAGTGACGTGAGATCAGGGGGTGCGGGATGTGGTGAAGGTGGCAGTGGAAACACTCTCTGAAGGAATTCGTATCTCAAGGAAAGGGAGGCAGAAGAACAATAAGGAAAGGCAAGAGCCACCCAAGCCACTGAGCTGAAGTCTGCAGAATCAAAGCCCACAACTTAGATCCCTGAATGAGTTCCTTGTACTGCCATCCTTTAAAACTGATGTGAACTGATGTGAACGCATCATAAGGACAACATAATCATACAACTGGCCTCCAGCTCTGTAGTAGGAAGCTGGAGAAGACATACACACACAGGCAGAGAATCAATCCTTTTGTAAACTGGATCAGATAAGCCCAAATGTAATTGATCTCATCCATCCAAAAGCTTTGTGCTAGGGTAGGAATTAATTCTGTTTGGAGGGATGGAATAATTACTCCACAGACCTTCCTACAACTGCTAATGCAGCTCCTAATCCCCCTTTGCATGCAGGGATAAGAGCTGGGGTTTACATGTTCATAATCTTGTGACTCTACTTTCTCCAGCCATGAGCTGCTCTGTACAGAGTTTTGGTTCAGGCATGAAACACGTTCCAGTAAGAGCAGAGTCAATAAAGAGAAGCCCCCAGGTGCTGTAAGGAAGCCCAGTACTGGCTAGGAAGGGAATCAAAGGAAACAGGCGTTAGCATACAAGAAGGGAGAGGATGGGGAACATGTTGGCAATCACACAGAGACAATAAGGAAGAGGACTCCTTGCGAGTGAAGAGGACTGAATTCTTATTGCTACTTTGCTTTTGTTTTCATTAAAGAAGGTAACAGTCAAAGTGTGATCAAGGTGAGAATTGCTTTGAGGCAGAGGAGGCAAAAAAAAGCAGAGGAGGAACGGGTAATTCAAAAATGTTGCCTCAGAAACACTGAAGTGACAGGAAATTATTTCTCAGAAATGTGTTGAATGGAGATTCAGGGGCATTGAATTCATGCAAAGTGCTTGTTTTAAGAACTATATAGGTGGGATGAAGCACTAGGCAGTACTTAAAGCTACCTGAAACTGGTAGAACAGATTTTAAAGCATTCTGCTGCATTAATATATAGCAAGATAATATAGCATTAATGCAGTAGCAAGATAAATAGAGGTCAGCGTGGATTTATCAAGATATGCTGATCAGTCAATTAATTGAGCTAGTGTAAAGAAATTTAGATTTCTTTGCAAAGGGTTGAACTGTGCCTCCTTGATGCAGCCTGCCATGAGGACAGGGCAGAACTGCACTGCACAAGGTGGGCAGCAGGAGACAGACCATGTCCCAGCTGCAAAGGCCACTAAACTCAATGTTATGCAATTGGCTACTACAAAACTTCCCGCCACCTGCCTGCTGGCGCTCCTGGACACTGCTGTACAACGAGCAGGGAGAGTCATTGCCCTCGGTGAAAGCAAAAGTCAGAATTTGCTCTGCACAGGTATTTTCTGCAATTTTGTACATTATCTGGAACCTTACACATATCACTACCAGGAAATGAAGACCAAATTAAACAATGTATATGCTAAACATGTATGAGAATGTAAATAATTTGAAAATAACAGTCTGCCCCTGGTATTCATCATCACATTTTCCTTGCCAAAGAAAGAATTTTTTTCTTTGGTAGAAGTGCATGATCACCATGGGGGATTGCTGTCTGATATAAATAATTTGTTTCCTTAATAACTCTGCTCTAGTAGGAAACACACATAAAGTACAAGATCATTAGTATTTAAATAGCCAAGAAAAATCCAAAGGAGGTCTGATACCTAGGGTTAAGAACTGACAGTCAGAAATTCTTGACTGGAACCACGTGAGGTTTGTTGTGCTAGATCGAGTGCTGAGATACTGTTCAGTCTGTTTAAATAAATAATTGAAGGTAGTAATAGTAAATGCAATTATAAAATAGAATTTAAAGAGATAGTACCTTAATTAAATTCATCAATATATTGCCTATCAGTAATTATTAGAGTAATAATAGATATTTAAATTATTGAATAGTAATTGAATCATACATGAATAAATGACTGTATGATTAGTGCCATCCAGAAAAAAATTCTGACAAATGAAAAAAAAAAGTTCATTCAACCAGGAATATTTTCCTTGAAATATCTCTACTTTGAATATTTTCAGCACAAATCCATCAGAAATTGTGCTAAACACAGCTCCAGATCAAAAGAATACTGCAATCAAATAGTGCTGCCTAATGCCCATCAAGATATGTTGGTGATGCACCCAGTTTCCCAGGAGAAGCAAAGCCATGTTGAGCTCTCTTGGTTCTGGCCAAAGAAAAGAGAAAAACAAGTCCCATTGGAAATGTGAAAACAAACAAGAAAGGGTCTCAGATAGGAAAAGAAATAACATAAGCTTCCAGGTGCTTCTGTTGACAACCATACTGGCTCTGCCTTTTGAGTTTCCTGCTCCCTGATCAGTCTGGAAACCCTTAAATCTTGGCAGTGGAAAAAACCCTAAATATCCTCGATCGATAAAGATCAAGGGAGAAAATGTGATAGTATCTAGTGGATTTACAGCTAAAGTTTCCAAAGCAAAGGAAAGCAAAGAGTTATAGCATCTTCAGCCAAATTAATCTGAAAGTACAAGTCTGCAAGATAAAAGTTCAGGAGTGAAACCTCCTAATAAGTAGGGCACTCCAAGATATTAAGAAGTGGCTTTTTTCTATAAACAACTTTTCAAATTATTTTTATTTTTTAATGAAAACAAAGAGGCAGAATTTAGTTGGTGAAATGCAAAGAAAAAAAATTATCTAGGAGCTAAGGAAATAAAATGAAACATTCAGATTTCCTGGGAAAAACTGAGTAGCTTAATACTGAGTGTACTGATCTGCTAGATTATACCACAGACAAAAAATTTGGGCCAAAGAATATTTTGCAACTTTATACTTTCTAGATGAAGCCTATTATTGTGAAAAGGGGCGATACATGTTAAAAATCAGATATTGATACTCTAGAGAGAGTTTATGACAAAAGCAATAAAAGGTATGGATAGGTAGAGTAGACTGAGAGGTCAATGAGGAAAGAGCAGTCACACAGAGAAGCCAGGGCAAGACAAAGGCAGTTTTGTGGTTGGCTTTGGTTTTTTTCTCTAGATAGGATTTAGCAGCTGAAAATAAGGAGACGACACTGAGGCCACAGACCTCAGAGGGATTCAGCTTCTGAACTACCTGAGCGAACGAGCCTCTCCTCTGAGCACTGGCTCCCGCAGGACTGGAGCAACTGGGTGCTGCCCACAGAGTGGGGACACGGCTCCTGTGCCAGTGCTGAGGTAACTGCAGACTGACACGGGCTGCAATTATGTCTAGAGCACGTTTAGATTAAGCTTTACAGCAATTTCAAGCACATTTTGCAGGCAGGCAGGACTTACCGGCAGGAAGCCTTCTGAGTGGAATAAATGAATTCACATTTTCCATGTATACAGTAGCCGTTGAAGCTTTCTGAACAAGGTATGTGGTTTCCAATGTAAATGTCTTCTCTTTGATCACTGGCATCTTGAAAAGAAATACACATAAACAATTATACAGGGCTGCATGATATTTATTTTAAAAAATCTCAACCAGGAACAGCATACCCTTAAAAGCTCGTAGTGAATAAAGGAATACAGAATAATAAAGCAGAGGCTTCAGGGTAAAGTTTCAGAGGCACCTACAGAGATTTACTGGGATGTACTGCCCTGAAAAATGATCCTCAGAGGCATCTAAATATGCTTCTTATGTCAGGGTTCTCAAAAGGGGAAAAGTATTCATCACAGAAACAAGCCAATGCAGAAAGATCAGCAGAAGCTTTGTCAGTGGCGCTGGGGCAAAGGGATAATCCATAGATACACAGGGCTCTCTGCCATGTCTACACAGAGGAAAAGAGACCTGAAGGGTTAGAAAGAAGCCAAACCACACTTTGTGACTGCTGGGTAGAAAACAACTTGATAAAGCCCTGACCTGAGCTGGCTGTGGTGGTTGGTGCATTGCTTATTTTTTACTCCTTTTTTTTTTCCCCTTCACTTCTTAATCTGTCTTTATCTTGACCCAGCTGCTGGGTGCTTAGCTGCTGTCCGGGTCAGCCCAGCACAGGAAGGTGGTCCCTTCCACCTCAGCATCTTCCATGCTTCTATCATATTACTAAAACTATCTAAAACTGCATACATTTTCAACCATTCTTTCCCCAAAATTGTTTTGTAAAAAGTCCTAAATAGAGAAGTTGATATTTCATAATAAACTTCCCTAAAGACCAAGGATTTAAAGCTGTGAATGTAATTGTGGCATTATGTTCATTTCCATGGCGATAGACTATAGCCTCACAAACACAAGACTACAATGAACTGCAGGTGCAAAGCAAAAAGGGATTGTGAAGAAGAAATCTCTTCTACAACTGCAGATATTTGGAATAACATTAGCAAGAAAGAGAATGTATTTATACAAGAGAAAAAAAAAAAGACACACTGCTGGTTTAGGTTTTCTCTGCACATTCTGTGGAATGTTTGTTAATTTGTTCCAGGAGGAAAAAAATGTATTAGAGGTCCAAGATATAAGGCAACTTGATAGTTCAGGCTACGCTTCCAAGATGTAGAGGACTTGATACGAAGGAAGGACATTGCATAATAACCAACAATATGTCTAATATTGCCCTGTTGGAACGGTCTATGTCATGGTAAGTCTAAGAGAAGAAAAGCTGAGAAGGCTCATCTCAAAACCATTGCCTCCTCCAAGCAGTTAATTACTGTTGCGTCTGATCCTGCTACATACAATTCCATTAGTCTAGTCAGATAGCTGCCCCACGCCTGGCTTTAATGTATGTACTAATACAGAATGTGAGGCCCAGGGAAGGATTCATACCCTGAATCTGGGGCTGTAAAGTCAGAAGCAAAACTTGCATTAAGCAAAGAGATGTTGTTAAATGCGGGAGGTGATTCCTAATGTAAAATAGACATTTACCTGCCTATTGATGGGAATCTTTTTTTATTCTGAGAGGCCTGCTAGACTGCTTCAGAGCTTCAAAGTGAAATATTTAACTGGTGTAAAAGCCTTGAAAGAGTGACTGGATAGAAGAGTTCAGATACGTCACCAGAAGGAAGAGGCTTGCACAAAACCTGGAACCCTGGTGCCCATCTTGGCCCAATAAAAGCAGCAGGCCGGCTGAATCTGGGAAGAAACACCTTTCTGATGTAACTTCAGGTAGACACTTGCAGTGCAGGAGGAGGAGACTGTCATAGCTATGATTCTATAGTCTAGAAGGCATTATACATTCAGAGAACAGGGTGGAACGAGTAACTCCCAGGAATTTAAAGGAAAAGCAAACAGATAGAAGTGTGGACTGTTCTCTGAAGAAAAAGTCATTCAAAGTAGTTCAATTCAGGCTCTCACTGTCTAAAAAGACCTGACTACTGCACAAAAAAATTTCAAAACAATTTTTTTGCACAAGGCATACTTCCTTCATGCACATCATTTGCCAAATTTGCAACTGCACAAGCTATACATGTTAATAATAATAATTATATACAATGTTTTTTCCACTAAATAGATTTCAAGGGCAATTTATATACAATGAATAAAAGGCTGTAACTGATTCTGAATAGGAACCAAAAGTGGTGTTATATTACATCACATAATAAGATGTATATTCCATTTGGTGCCTTTTATGCCTTCATAATGTAAGTGAAAATTGACATTAAATCATCCCAATTGGTACATTATATGGAGTGAGAATAAGAGAATTTGTGAAAAAAAAACATACAGAGCTTTTTGGCACTGAATGGCTGTTTTCAAGAAGAACACAAGGAATGTTGAAAGCTATGGTGGGATGACTTCACTCTGGGAGGCCATGGGAGTGCAAAGCTAGTGTAATGACAGAAAACACTGAAGAGAAGAGCTAACAGAGAAAACACCAACCCCTCACAACAAAACCTGCATTAAGACCAGCACCAAGAAGACTCAATATGAGTCACAGTGTGTCCTGGGGTGCATCAACCAGAGCACAACCAGCCACTCAAAATAGGGGTTTATCTGCTGTATTCAGCCTTGGTGAGGCCTCACCTTGAACACTGTGTGCAGTTCTGAGCCCCACAATTTAAGAAGGATGCAAAGGTCCTTAAATATGTCCAGAGGAGGGCAGCAAAGCTGGTGAAAGGGCTGGAAGGAATGTCCTATGAGGAGCGGCTGAGGACTCTGGGTTTGCCTGGTCTGGAGCAAAGGAGGCTGAGGGGCCTTATTGCTCTCTACAGCTTCCTGAGGGGGGGAAGTGGAGAGGGAGGTGCTGACCACTTCTCCCTGGGATCCAGTGATAGGATGCATGGGAATGGTTCAAAGTTGCACCAAGAGAGATTTAGACTGGACATTAGGAAGCATTTCTTTACCGAGAGGGTGGTCAAACACTGGAACAGGCTTCCTACAGAGGTGGTTGATGCCCCAAGCCTGGCAGTGTTTAAGAGGCATTTTGACAATGCCCTTTAGCTTTTGTTCAGCCCTGAACTGGTCAGGCAGTTGGACGAGATGATGGTTGTAGTCCCTTTCCACTAAAATATTCTATTCTATTCTGTTCTGTTCTATTCTATTCTATTCCATGCCATTCCCAGTGCTATTATTTGTAAGAGAAGAAGGTAGGTTAACACCTCTGCAGATCTGCTCTTTGCATATTTCTTCTGAGAATGCACCTGACACACATGGGCTACTACCACGTAAGAAAACCGAGCAGGAAGTGAAACGCTGCCTTACTTCATTTATACTGATGTTACTAAAGGCAAGATAAGGTTTGTATAGGTCAAACATTTTTAACCAATGGGATTAAGCCTATTAGTTCACTGAAAACATTTTAAAACAACCTAACAAGTTGCTGAAGTTGTGGATGCCCCTTCCCTTGAAGTGTTTAAGGCCAGGCTGGATGGGGCTTTGAGCAAACTGGTCTAGTGGAGGTGTCCCTGCCCACGGCAGGGGGGTTGGAACTAGATGATCTTTAAGGTCCCTTCCAACCCAAACCATTCTATGATTCTATACCAAATACAGAATCTGCCTTATTTTTCAAAAATTAACAGAAAAGACAGGGTCATGGGGTAAGGGCCTTGTGTCATTTCATCAGGAATGTCACAGCTTGGTGTCTTCTTGTGTCATTTTCACAGCACTTGGGTGCAGTCTAATCCTGTGACCGCTGCAATGGGTGGTGAGCAGCTGGGCATCTTAGAGGAGCACAGTGTGCAAAACTCACAAATCACCCCCAGGTCACTCCTGCCAGCTGTACAACACCAGAGCTGTAAGAAAGCAGCTGCTCACGGGTCTGTCTCGGTTACAGAAATTAAAGCTGTAAGGCAGACGAGAAGGGACCCGTGTGCTCTCTTTTCTCATCTTGTGCACCATAACCAAAGAGCACAAAGTCAGCACAGTACCTTTCACCTCCGGCCGATACTGCATGCCATCATCTTTCTTTCCAACTGCGTTTGCGTCATCTGTGTCTAGATGATAAATACATGCATGGACAGCTATTAGGAAAAGCTTATTTCCAAACCACTACATGTGTGTCATTGAGAAACTAGAATGGTATTCAAAGAAGTATTTTAATAGCAGTAAAACTGGACACATTCCCATGTTGCTCCTCCCATAAAACCAGGTTGGTAGCACACCTGGTCAGCAATGGTCAGTAACCCCAGCATCCAGACCAACACATGGCACACTTCAAGCTGTAGCTTTTGAACTAAAATCTCTTTGGTGGAATAGGCCTAGGTCATTTTGTTGACAGTCTGTTTTGGTTTTGGAACTGTCCAAGTTACAGATCTAGAAGGAACTGGCAAAGAGATGCTGGAGAGCTGCTATTCCCATGAGAAGGTCCTAACTGCAAGACCCCAAAACTGAAGAGTTACGCACATGATTAACTACAAGGCAGTAGACAGAGAGCTTCAGTGGACCATTGCAACACTGGAAAAGAAAATGGGTAAATATTTGTGCAATTTGGGCTCAACTTGACTCACCTTGGAAGTGCATTGTACAGCCCACAGTAGCAAGAAGGAATGTTTCCCACAAACTGGTATTCCTTTTGCTCTCCTGCTTCTTACCACCCACTCATGTAAGACCCATTGGACAATTGCTTAGATTCTCCTAAGAGCTTTTGCTGTCTTTCCAGGTAATACCAGCCAAAGGAAGGTAATGTAAACACAGTACATATACATGTAGTGTAAACATACCTCTGCATGAGGAACTCTAAAAGATAGGTGGGGAGTTCACTGATAACTGGATCAGTGACTTCTGATCTGGAAAAGAGAAAGCTCTACCAAGCACGCTTATATCAGAATTTACATTTACCAGAAAAACAAAATTATGCCTACCTGAGCAGTGTCCAAGATGCCTGATGTCGATCTGCTCTTGCCTCAGACATGATGCTTCTCTAACAAAGCATGGATTGTTATAGGAACTTCCATCAGAAGCACATACAGGATTAAAACTGTATCCACTGCAGTCTATATTACATACACACCTGTTAATTGAAACGTACAGCAAAACAAAATTGATATCCAGCAAACAAAAATTAAGTCGTGTTGAGCCATGAGTAAACACTAGCTCATACGCTAATGCCAGGAGAGAAGAGCATGTTGCGTGAGGATGCTGAAGAATTCATTGGCATCTCAGCCTTCCAAGCAGAATATACAAAATTATGAATAGGTGCTTCAGTGGGCTTTTAATAATGCATTGATGTTTCCTGAAGTTTTACTGTGATATCAATCTCAATGATTACCACCTGAAAATTGATAACACATTGCTAGGAAAATTTACTACATTAATAAAACAGCTTGTGGTGTCTGTTCTTAAGCGTGACCAAAACCAGATGAATATTCTACTTTTTTTTGGGGTGTCAGGATCCCTGAGAAGGGAACAAAAAGGACTCCCATTTCTGTTAAACAGTAAAAGGAGTTTTTCTATTCCGAGGGCAGTACAGAATCAGTATGCTTGGTTAACTCTGTCATTTCAGCAAGACAATCATCATACCTTTGAAAGTTAACAGTGGCTTTCTTATGTGGTAATTAAAGCAGGATTGTGTGATCGAAATTATTTCATATTGCATCCAATTGACACTTCAGATATTTAGACACAGCAATTTTCCATAGAATTTACAACCAGAAAACAAAGTGGGGAAAATGAAGACCTAACATGTAGCTGGTATCTAACCATCCAAATGTAGGACAGCCAAAGACTTACATAGGGATATGACTTAAATGGTTTTGGTTAGATAGTCTTGATGCCCCAACAAAAAGTCCTGAAATTTTACATGTGTGAATGGCACAGATAAGCTTTCCAGCTTTCCAAACCCTATTACCCGTGTTTATTTTAATCAATATTCTACTTTTTAACTGAAACATTGTTTTTGAATGAAGGTTTATGTGTGTGTTTCACATTGCTCTGCAAGCTCTGCTCCGCCTCTGGACTGGGAGAATGTGTGAAGAGTGTGGCTACAGAAAGGGGACCTGGGGAGCAGCCAGTCCAGCTCTCCATGGAGCTCCTCCTCATGCTGTGGGAGCAGAAAGAGCTGCTTTGCATCTTCTGAGGTTGTAGCAGTGGACACACTGTCCTCTCCCTGCCAAAAAGCTCTACACAGGAGGCACATGGTCTGACTGCTAGGAGCTGCTGTAGCTTCATCTTTGCTCACTCTTTTAAGACACAGGGTGGGGAAAAAACCCCAAGTTACCAACTTCCCAGGTTTTTAATTCTCTTTCCAGCTGCTCCAGATACAATTAAATGATTAAACAGACAGATGTGTGCCTCAAGTCAGAGGCACAGCAGAACCTAATTCCACGCTGCAGAAACACTGAAAATGGCCTGTGTGCCTTCCTCTCTCCCTCTTATTCCATAAGCACCTTTTGTTACCTAAATTTAAAGATGCTAATTTTGCCAGTAATATTTCATGCCTGTGAACTTCAGATTGTTGCTAGACAAAAGAACATCTCTAGTACAAATGGGTTTTTAAGTGCACCTCCTAACAGTGAAAAACTGCCCCAGTAATGAGTCTCCACACATCTTAGGAACTTACCTCAAAGTACTCATGAAGCAGCCAAATATCAACATGATGCATGTATGATAATTTTTCTTACTAGAAATGGTAATGGTTGTAAACCTTAGACCCAGGGAAGGAAGAACTATTTTGTTTACACGCTCCCACATGATTTTAAGCCTAATGAGGGGTTTATTAGGATTTACTATATGCAAATAAAAGGCTCATGGCTCAGCAGTTGTACACATTTTTTAACACGAATGAGTGGAGAACTAGTGCTTGTTTGTATGGCACCAGCTGTGTGCTTACAGATACCTTTGCTCAGCCCTAGCTCTCAGGGATCACCACTGCCTGCAAGCACCCATCCCTGTCAAGTTTGAGCACATTCGCATATATCTCTCCAGAACAATTCCATCTGTATTTCTATGTCCTAACAGCTCTAATTCTGTCTACAGTCACCATCCAGGGGCTGCAGCATCATAATTACTGTGGTTTTCTGTCATTCCTGGTGACAAATAAGGTAACTTCTGAAAATAATTTTTTCTTCCTCATGGTGACATAATAGGGTAGAGTTGAAAATGCTTGGAAACTGCTTACTGCTGCAGCGTTGAGATTTAACATCTCCCATTAAATGCTTGCTTACTTGCTGTGGGGGTAGATGTGAATTCCTGACACTTTTTCTGATAAACACGTACAGTCTTAGCTCTAACCAATTCTTTGATGTACAAAAATTTCTTTTTATCATTTAAAATTTACATCTAAAACCAGAAAAATAAATAAAAAACCCCAACAGCCTAAAGAGGAGAGCTTGTGACACGTCCATAAGGGCTGCTGCAGCACGAGACAGCTGAATCCCACTGACCAGCTGCAATGGGCTGGCAGCTGCGTTGTGTCCTTGGAGCAGGACAGAACTGGCCACTGCCAGGGGTGGGAGCAAGTGAAACTCCTGCTCGTGGCCAGTCTGCATACTGGGAGCTGCTGGAGGCTTGCAAGCACACCAAATCCCCAGTGCAGCCTCGCTGGCAGAACAGACCCCAACCAACTGGCAGATGGACATGTTTTCTGCCCACAGGCACGTGGGCTGCCGCACATCACATCTCCAGCAAGGCCCTCGCCAGACAGACCAACCCAGCCAGCTGGTGGGACACATGCCTGCTCTCTGATCCCCAGGATCTGCCTCTGCTTCCAGGATTGGTGGCATCTTCCTTCCAGGCTCCCTTATTCTGTCCAAGGGCATTGCCTTTCAGGACACGTCTCCAGAGCCCTTGGTTTCCCAGGCTCAGCAGTCTATCTACAGAAGTGCACTGCATGACTGGCTTCCCAGCTGCTGACTCTGTCTCATGGCTCTTCATTAACTGGAAGATCCAGGACATGACACTTGTTCAGCCCAGGCATTACCCAAAATCTACAACCAGTTGGTGCTGGTTGCAACTCAGGAGTTCATAGGTTCAGTTTTGGAAGTTCTCTCCCCGCCAATGCCCATGATTATCTGCCTGATGCCATTAGGTGCTACTTCTCCTACAGCCATGGTGCCAAATGGTGTATCTGGCCTTCACCTGGCCATTCAGTTACCGGTGTAGACACTTTGACAGAGCCCCCGGCACGTAAAAGCAGCTGGTTTAAATACACTGTGGGATAATGAACAGTTGAACTGGACTGATGTACTTTAAAAAAAATTGAGACTATTATACTTCATAATTCCAATGTAAAAGCATGAAGCTGTTCAGAGAGCTGAAGCAGAACGAGTGAAGGTGAGGACATGGCTGGGGCGTGATGCTCTGAAGGGAGCAGGGCCCCCGCAGATGCAGCAGGGTGGCAGTGAGGGAACCAGGAGCACATGTTAGAACCCTGCACCCCTCAGAGAGTCCACGTGGGGTGCAGTGAAGTGTCCTACCTTATAGCTGGTGGGCACTAGACCCAAAATGCAGCCAGGCCTGCTGGAAGCACCGAACTGTGAGATGGGAGCAGTGAAATGTGTGGAGTGCTGCTCTGGGTAGAAAACATGAAATGAAAGCTGTTTTTAACTGCTCAGTGTTTGTGAAGGAAGGTAAAACCATGGGAGAGCAAGTTGCTGCTCTGATGCTGCACATCAAACACATCAAAACTGGCAGTTGAGTTCCTGCAAGAGCACAGGACCACCACCAACAACAACAACCGAAATGAAAAAGCAACTCAGGCAAGTACTGGAAGATTCCCAGAAGAACCCACTATGAAATACAGAAAATATATTACACCCTGAAGTCAGAGAGCTACAAAGGGCAGACAACAGCTTGCTACTGAGGAGATGACAGAAAATCCAATCTCCTGAGGGAAGCCAGCTCCCCCCAGCAGCCAGCTTGAGCCTTAGAACCAGGCAGAACTCAAAGCCCAAGACTACCAAGCACAGCCCACAGGGCTGCACCCATCCCACGGACCACAGAAGCAGCACAGGAAGTATGGGAGAAGATGCAGCAGACAAGGTTAATGAGCTATAAGTGGGGGCCCAGAGGGCAAAAATCTTATCAGGGGCTGTATTTTACAGGCAGGAGAGCCTGTGTGAGGCATCACAGATAGTGGGCTTTGTTTTTTTTTCAGAGCTGACTGAAACTGGACACAACTAAAATCTCATATTGTAATTTGTTCCCTGACAAGTCCTGCTTACGCTGGGGAAAGAGCACAGAGAGAGGAGAAGACAAAACAGAGAGCTGCTTAGGAGGAGAGGGCAGGAAAAACCTAAGATCATGAAGGGGGAGAAGGGGGTGAAGGGGGTATGCATGAGTTACCCAGGAGAGAGAGGAGACCCTAACTGTAAAATTCCCAATATCCCACCTTTAAGCACTTATTCTCACTTCTACCTTAGTTCCCTCTGGCACTGTGATCACATGCATTGGTCTGTGAAGCTAATGCCATGTGCAGCTCAGCCGTGAAGCCACCAACACTTTCCAGCATGACTTGGCCTCAATGAGTGCTGAATGGCAGCCTTGGTGTGAGGCTGGACTCCTCCGACCACCAGCCCTCTGGGGGTACTAGCCTGAAAACTTAGCTTCGGGGGCACAGGGATGCAAAGGTTTTGATCACATTTCTAAATTAACACACCCAGCAAAAAAATAATAGTAGGCTTTACAATTAAGAGATATAATAATATGCAACAGAAGACAATTTTATAAAACAGGAAGCATTGGAAAGCCTGTATCAGCAAGATTTAGGTTCGGATTTTAATCCATCTAAAAGAGATATTTTGAACAGAATATTCCACCTTACTTCTACTCATTTTAAACCTGTATTAAAACACTATCCTGCATTTGTTGAGACAAAAGCACAGCTTTGATTCTAGCTTTAAATATTTTTAACACTGATCTTTAGGTAACATTTTCATTCTATTCCTTTAGAAAAGAACACAAGCAAGATACATTTTCATCCCTAATTACCAGTAGAAAAAAAATGAGGTTTGCTTTCAGCATGTGCTTTCTGGTGTGAGCAGGTGGGCGCACACTGAAATTACAATGTACGAA